CGCTGCGGCCCGATCGCAGGCGCTCTCGGGAGCCGGTGCCCTGAGGGGCTTCTGGTCGCGGACTCCGCGCCGCCCGAGTCTGCGTTCATTCTCTCCCCACTGTACAGAGGAGCTGTGCTCCCCGTGGGCTGCGGTGTTTTCTTTTCTTTCTTTTTTTAATGAGAATAAAAGCCAGTGAACTATGTGAGCCTGCAGAATTGTGGAGACTGGCTGAAGAAGCTCTTCTCCTAAGTTGCAGAATCGTCGAGTACCTTTGTTTAGGGTCGGGTGCAGTGATTATGGGGGGCGTTAACGAGGAGGTTTGCCCTGTCCGGTGATGACTCTACTCGTGCGGTTGAAGTGACAGCGGCACTTAAGCCATGAACCTGGAACTTTTTGTACGCGAGTCAGTTACTTGGTAGAGCAAAACTTAGCATTTTTGTGTGTTAAAAGACCATAGATGAGCACATGAAGTTGTCTTAGCGTCGTTTATGATTATTATTCGGGTTGCGACGTTGAAGAATTCCTCCCTAGCATAACTACAGATTCTAAGAAATCTTACAATTTGGTAACTGAGGGAACTTTCTAATTCTTGTTCTGTTGTCATTAGGAACGGCCATACTGGCTAGTTAACATTTTGCTGCGAAATGTTTTTCGAAGTTACTGTTTGCATCTACTGTGGCATTATGTTAGGTGTCCTGTTAATTTTCATAGCCCTTTTTGGTGGATATCCCCATTTCATAGTTGAGAAAGCTAAGATTCAAATGTTAAATCGCCGTGGACCTTTGCACAAGTATGGAGCGGGCTGGATTTTAATTTAAGAGTGTTTGATATTTTTTTTTTAACCCCTTGGTCTTATGCGCAGAGCTGGAATTGCTTCCTTTCTGTCCTTCATCCAGCAGTCCCCAAAAGGGACAGCTCTGTTCTTCCCTAGATGACGTACTGATGTTGTCACTGCCAGGTACCATCCTCCGTATTTTTATGGGGGGAGTGAACTACATAGAGGTTGAGTAGCTGCACTTGCTAGTTTGTGGTGAAGCTATACTGTGTCTTGGCTCCCATCGTGGTAGTTTTGACTCTGAATGGATGATATATGTATGTGTCCAAGTTAAAAAATACACTGAGCAAACAGTACAGAAGGGAAGGCCTGGCTTTGCCTGCAGGTCCACTTTCCAGAGGTGCTGTAATTGCTGTCACTGTTTTGTATGTGCCGCACCATCAGTAGTGCTTATCAGTGGGTCCCACACAGGTGGAGTCCACCAACTACGGATCAGAAAGGACAGCCGCACATCGTTTTAACAAGCTGCAGACACTGCGGGAGGGAGGGTGGGTGGCTCCCAGTTGAAACTTTGTGATAACCCTGTGATGAAGAAGTCTGTGGGCACCGTTTTCCAATCCTGGAATTAATCATTAGCAGTTTTTTTAGCAATAAAGTATATTTTAAGGTATGTTCATTGTTTTCTTAGACGTGATATTGTATACTTAATAAACTACAGTTTTTAAAATACAAGTACTGGGAATCCAAAATATTCAAATGGCTCGCTTTATTGTAGTGGTCTGGAACCAAACCTACAGTATCTTTGAGATGTGAGTGTACTTAAAAAACTAGGAGGCTCGCAGTCCCGTGGTACCCTCCAGAGATTGCTTCTGGGGTACCCCTAGCCTCAAGGATACCAGAGTCTGGGCGCTCAGATCTTACATTAAGTGGCATAGTGTTTACATACCACCTGTATGTGTATTCCAATAGACTTCATCTTCTTTGTATTGCTTTAGAATACCTAGGAGAATGTAAATGCTTTGTAAACGTTGTCATGCTGTACTAGGGAATGACAATAACAAGGAGAAACGTCTGTCATTGTTCAGCTTGGCATGGTGACTCAGGCCTGTCATTCAGCACTCTGAGAGGCTGAGGCAGGAGGATCACAAGTTCATGCCCGGATTTGGCAACATAGTAACAACAAAAGCTTGTCTAAAATAAAAATGTATTTAAGTGAGCAGGGAATGAAGCCATTGGGAAAGTCCTAGGTTCTATTCCCAGTACTTCCCCCCAAAAACCTTTTTCTGGTTTGCAGTTGGTTGAATCTGAGGATGTGAAACCTGTACTTATTGAACTATGACTGTATATATTTAGGGACAGTCAGAGCCCACCCCCCCACGCACTATGCTAAGCCTATCCGAGATATCTTTTTAATTACTACACATTTTATATCATTATTTAAGGTTGTTGTATTCTCTCGTATGGTTGTACTAGTTTTCTCATCACTTCTTGGTAGATAAGTTTTCTAGTGTTGGGGCTGTGTAGTATAGGTGGGTGCTGAAATTCACACTTGCTTGGAAGTACCAGTACCTCATCCTCATCTTGGCCCTATTTTCTCCTACTGTAAAATGGGGACATTGGGATACGTGACACATGGTGTGCTTAGTAAGCTTTGTCTGGGGACTGTGTGATTGATGTTGTATAGTGTATCCTCCAAGAATATCCTTCACACTCATTAATTCAAGGCAGTTTCTGTCCAGAAAGTGTGAGTGTGTGAAACTTTCTTAAGCTCTTGACATATTGTCTCATAGAAGCTGCTCTAGTTTACACAACTGCTGCTCCAGTAGATGAGTGAACTGTGTAGTCACTATAGAAACTTGAGCTTCAGTTTGACCTTGGTTCTTTGGACTAATCAAAGAAATTGCTTTTATATTTTTTTTTCTTTTCTTTTGCATTACTGAATGTCTCCTAAAATGCTTGTGTCTCATATCACATTTAATTTTTTTTTAGAATCAACTGGAAAGAAAAAAAAAAAACGTTGTTTGCTGCCTTAAAAAAAATTGATTCCAAAATCATGAAATTACTAAGGTTTGCTTTGGTATCAAATGTAGGTTTTTTTACTAATGTTTTTTTTGTAAAGGATTGCCAGAATTTAGAATCTTTTAAACTTGCAGAGATTAACCAACTTTAAGGTTGGATAAAGTTCAGTATTACCAAGAAAAACATTGGTTTAAAGGGGCAATAATGATTGCTTTCTGTCTTTATTTAGATAGAAGCCAGTAGGTGATCCACTGCCGTGCCTTTTTCTTTCTTTAGTGGTTAGGGTGATTTCCTCCAGCTAATTGTTTCCTAGATTAATTTTAGCATAATTCTACTTTCCTTATCCTCACTGCCCCAGTCCGTGCCAACAAGGCATCTGTTTAGGAATCTCTGCCCCTGCATAGCTGGGATATTTTAGGAATAATGCTCTGCCCAGCAACTGAAGTGTTGGCTATAAGCTGCTGACACCTGTTGAAAAGTGCCTGTAATTTTAGTTTTTAAAGCCTCTAAATGTTTTGCATATGTCAATTATGAGATCACTTGGTGTGTATCCTGTGTACTTACTCATTAAAGTGCATGCTTAGTAATTGTTCTGTGGCAAACAGTATTTTAGAAGTTTTATATTTATCTGGAACTGTGTTGCTTCCATAGTGAAACTTGGGGCTTTTGTGTATGACGGTGTCTTATGTTTCTAAGAACACACTTCCATATTGGGCTTATATAAAATTCTCTAGGTTTTATTAATAACCCTGAAGGAGCAGCTTAAGTTTGACTTTCACAGGCTTTGTAAGATGAAGTCGAAACACTGATTTGAGCATAGGAGGTTCTCTGACTATGGGGAGCACATTCCCTAATGCAGCATGCCTAACTCGGGTTTGGAAGGAAGGTTACACGGTTAGCCACCTGATGAACCCTTTCCATCTTGTCTCCTTTGGAGAAATTTTTCTGATTATGTGATTAATGCTCTCCTGGGAGCGTGGGTTCAGAAAAGTGCGAATTTCAGGCTCCTGTGTCAGTAAGTGACAGGAAGCGGGGCAAACCTGACTGCACTGCTTCTCCTCCACGCCCACCCTCCTGATTTGTGACTCGCTCTCTCTTGCCTTGGTATGTTTAACTGTGTTTAACTTGCTTTCTCTGCTACATCGCTGGAAAGAATGGGCACATTTGTAATTGAAAATACAATAAGTAAATTCCCTTTAAAATGTACAGTTCTCTTTCATAACAAAATGAGAATTATAGAATTATTCTGGATCTTTTTTAGAAAAACTAAAATAAAAGAGATCTTACCACCCAGCAGCGTAGATTAGATTCCACTTTTCTGTGGTCTCTTGAGCATTTGATGTTGCTGCTTGTTTATTTTAGCTCCTGTGGTGTGTGGTGGTACACCTTTAAGCTAAATTTGCATTTTAGTAAGTTTGCATTTTCCTAATGGTTTAGTGGTAGTGACCATCTTATATTATTTGCCATAGATATATCTTCTTCATTTCTCTGTCTTGTTTTCAAATTGGATATTTTAAACTTTTTTTTTGATACCAGGGATCAAGCTCGAAACCTTGCACTTGCAAAGCAGGTGGCAGAACCACTGAGCTAAATCCCTAGCCCAATATTTTAAACTCTGGAGTCTTGAAAGTTCTTCACTTATTCTGGATCATGATTTAATCAGATAATACAGTCTGTGACTATTTTTTCCCATTCTATTCATTGTCTTTGGGATTTTTTGTAGAACAAAAGTTATCAATTTGATGAAGGCCAGTTTAGTGAGTACTTTTCTGTGTAGATGATATTTATGGGGTTATGTCTAAAATATTCTTGACCGAGCTTTAAGCACCAAAGATGTTTCCCTAAAAGTTTTATAGCTTCTTACATTGGAATCTGTTCTCATTTGAATCACTTTTTACATAATCTGAGAAATTGAGGTCACATTTCTGTTTGGGTTTTGTGGCAGTGGTGACTTGTATTTGTTCTTGTTTTGTCCATGGATAAGTCACTCCTGCACCGTTGGTTGAGGAATCTACCTTTCTTCCTTTGAATTGTTTTTGCATGGTGTGTGCCTGAGTTCTTTATTTTGTCCCATTGATAATTCTGTCTTTTCCTACCCGCATAGTAGCTTTGACTATAGTAGCTATCTAAATCTTGAAATAGGTGGGCTCATTCTTCCCATTTTATTTTTCATCTTCACAATAACTTTTTTGTAGCTTCTTTGCCATTCATACAAATTTTAGAATAATCTTTTTATCATAAATCTTACTGAGATTTTGATAGTTATGTTAAAGTTTCATTAAAGCTAAATACACACTTAACCATATTACCTAGAAATTAAAGGTCAGGACATGTGTGTTAGAGAAACTAAGGCTTACCATAAGTCTGTATCATATTAACAGCTTCAGTGATCGAAGACCAAACTAAATGACCAAGTAGCCTTTAATAGGTGGGTGGCAAATTGTGATACATTATTCATGCACACAATGCTGCTCCGCAGCAAGAAGGACCGTACTGTTGATGAATAAATACAACAAGATGAATGGAGTGCAAATATTTTGCTGAGACCAAAAAGTCATATAGTGTATGATCCCATGTTCTCAAATGAGAAGTGTAAATGACAGTAGGTTGCCAAGGCTTAGGAGTAGTGGGGAGCAAGGGCTGGGTGTGACACTTTTGATCTGTGGCTTATTAAGTGGAAAGCACACAGATCTGTGCAGTAGTACAGTGGCATGGAGTTAGTGTACACACAGAACCAAGTCGGTGCCTAGGGTTCCATTCTTTGTGGCTATGCAGTGTCACCACTGGGGCGAATGCAGCAAGGGCTTCCCCACTGTTTTTACACCTATCTGTGACTAGCTATTTCACAATTGAGTAGTGGAATTTCAAAGGTTTATTTTGTGTGTGTGTGTGTGTGTGTATTATAGGTGTGCTTTATTTCAAAAAAACAGTTAACATCTTATAGTCATAGATATACTAGGAAAAGTTAGAAGTTAATTTGGCAAGTTTTTTTTGAAAAGGGAAATTAATATAAAAACATTGATTTGCCTAATTTATCATCAGACTGAAGTTTTCAGACTGCCTTTCATTATAAATACACTAGCTTGTTGAAAGAAAAATAATTATCAGTAACATGCTGGTAAGTCTGTGTAGACCTGCTTTTCAGGGGTTGGATTAAGAAAACTATACATGATACTTTTGTGAGCCCCCATTTTGCTAAACTACATATACCCACCTGTAAAATGGGACAAACTCACCCACTGGGCTACACTTGATTGACAGGATTATTTACCATGATCTTGTTACAAAGTAGCAATCACTGTGCAAAGCATATAGCTAAGAACCTCATAGTTCTCAATGGAATGGAATTCTGAAAGTGGAGATTTTCATACTGATGGCTGTGCCTGAGTATCTTTCCTCATAGACATTTTCTTTTGCTGTGAAAGGCATCTTGTCTAGTGTTTGGCCAGTAAGAAATTCTTCCTCCCCCAGTAATCAGGATAGAAATGGAATTAATGGTTAATGGAACTTCAGAAAGAAAGAGTTTTCTGTTAACTAATTTTAAGGTAACGGGTCATTAAAGAAATTTGAAACTTCCCTTTAGCTTTTAGTGTTTTGGGATCTTTTTCTGTTCCATCAAAATTAAAACACTAGGATATTTTGTATAATGCAAATATCTGAGTCTTTCCTATGTGTTCTATTAAAATTTTAAGAAACTTGTTTTCAGATTTCTGAAACGTCTTAACAGTGCTTCAATTCTCATATAGTACTTATGTTAACTGTTTCTCTCCTCAGATTTCCTCCTGCTTCATAGTCAACCAGAACAATGTTCTACGCACATTTTGTCCTCAGTAAAAGAGGGCCCCTGGCCAAAATTTGGCTGGCGGCCCATTGGGATAAGAAGCTAACCAAAGCCCATGTGTTTGAATGTAACTTAGAGAGCAGTGTGGAGAGTATCATCTCACCAAAGGTAGGTTTGGTTTGGTGTTGGTAATGTTACCCGCTTTGTTCACTGGTACGTGAAATAGGACTTACAGAACAACTCTTTAGGTAGTCATCTGTTGGTGTATATTGGAGGCGAGGAAAATCTGAATTTTCCAGGTTTCTTTTATTATTTTGTCTTTATCACCTTTAGGTAGATTTTGATATGTCACAGTTTGATATTTTATAAGTGCACAGATATTTTTCATTTGCCTGTTTTAATGGCAAATAAACAATGTATAACATTATCCAAATATTTTAGAATTAACCTTGTAGGGTTAATTCTAGGGTGGGAATTTAGCTCAGTGGTTCCGGCACCTGCCTCGCAAGTGGCAAGGGCCCGAGTTCAATCCTCAGTACCAAAACAAAACAAATAAAACCTTCTAGGACTTTTAAGTGTTTAAGTGTTCCTGATTTAGGAATTTTAAAAATATTCGAAGCGGGGTTCATTAGGTTTCAGGTCCTGGATCCAGCTGTCTTCATCCGCCTGGCAAGTCTGTTCACACTTGCTTCCCCTTGGCTCGCAGCCTCCGTGCTGCCACCTGTCACAGAAGGCATGTGCTCTGTGCCCTCCCGAGAAGCCCTCTTCTACAAATATCGGCTCCCTCACTGAATTACTTGTGACTTCCACTGGGGCGGAAGCCTTGAGGGACTTTGTTGACTTGAAAAAATGTTTTGAAGCAGTGGTTTCTACACTTGTATTTCATAAGTAGTATAACTTTAAACCAGTGTAGAATTTTTGCTTTGCTAAGAAAAGGCCTTTAAAACACATGAAGTGTAATTGTCATATACTATATTTAACATTTTATTGAAAAACGGACATGTTGACATCAAAAATGTATAAAGGGCTATCGCTTCTCGGCCTTTTGGCTAAGATCAAGTGTAAAAATGTATAAAGGGCTAATCTGAAAGGAAAAGACCTTAAATATTTTTCTATCTGTATTTTAAATGCCTTTCCTGTACCTTATGCTTATACACATGCATGCACCACCTGTCCTGTAGTGAAAATGCTCTACCTCACAGCTGTGGGGACCAGCATTGGGAAATACTCTTAGATTTGCCAGTTTAGACAGTGTTGGCATAAGGTATTAAATAAAGATTCTTTATTATTGAAAAAACAAAGAATCTCAAGAATAAGGTAGAGGATATAGTAGAGACTGGCTCCAAAAAGTATTGCATATTGCTAAGTGAGCCAGTCTGAAAAGCCTTCATCATGTAAGCTATGGCCTTTGGGTAATAATGACAGAATCAATTTGTCTTACAGTAAATGTGCCACTGTGTTGAGGGTGTAGGTAGCGGGGAAGGTCTGAGTTTATGGAGGTAGGGAATATATGAAAAGTGTCCATCTTCTCAGTTTTTCTAGGAAACCAAGACTGCTGATATTAGCTGATACTGGAGATAGGGACAGAACTTTTCTTGAATGCAGGCTTAGAACAAACCAACATAATACAGTTCATGAAAATATACACATGAAAATGTTTATGTGTACATGTGACACAAAGTGCACGCACATAAAACATTCACAGAGAAGCCAAGAAGGTATGCCAAAATATTAAAGATTTATGCAATGGGGGGACTGCAGGTTTTCTTTTTCAAAAATATCCATTTAGTAAACACTTCTTGTTCCATCCTACAGTCTTTTCTTAAGATTGATGTTTAGAAATATAACTGATAGGCTAAGTGATATCCTTCTTTTTAAGATTCCTTTTATGCATTAATAACTTGCTCTCTGGTGAGATTGTGGCATTTGGCACTGCTGGTCATTTGTGTGAGAACATGGTGTTTTAATAAGTGTGCTCCTTGAGGTAAGTGTATAGCAAGGGGATAAACTGCACCAGAGGTTGATATGTGTCACTAATTTTTAGCGTCCATTGGCAAATCATTGTAAGTGATTTGACTTAAAAGACCGATGTTATTGTGTGTACTTGGGGCCCATTAAGAGTGTTCCAGACGAGTGTGAGCCAGTCTTCTTGTGAGGGTGGCACAAACAGCCACAGAGCACTCAGTTCTGGAATAGTGTAAAAGACTAATGTGTGCTAGTGTGAATAACTGACTTGCTTTAAAGTTTTTGAAACATTTATAAGTGGATTTTAGTTTGATTGATCTTTTTATTGCAATAGGATGTAAGGATATTTCCACAAAGTCAGCTGCTGTGGATGTTTCTAATGTTTGCAGTTCTCCTGAGGAAATGTTGATTTAGTCGTCTGGAATAAGTGTCAGACTTGGGGCTTGCGTGCCCCTGAAAGCGTGCGTGGTCTCCCTCTCCCCTGCTGGCCCGTTAGCAGAGCCTCCTCGGTGTAGCCTTGGCTTTGTTAGATTTGCTGCCTTCTCCTTGCACTCTTCTGCCCACAACCGCTGATGCCACACCTCATTCTTCCTCCTCTGAACCACGCTAGTCCAGAAAGAAAGCTTTCGCCCACATATCACCTTGTGGAAGCTGCTAATTCTAGACAAGGTAATGACAGGGACAGGCAGAGATGTCTTCCTCCCTTTGGTAACCGTACAAGTCGGTGATGAGACAACATAGTAGTAGATTCTGCTTTTCCAGTAGGAGTAGTATTTTGCTTGGAAGTTATTCTTTGTCTCAGGGGTTTATCACCTTCCTGTCCTAGATTTGATCACAGATTTATTATAATTTCAGATACCTGAAAATTTATAGCAGGTAACTATAATTTATACTGTGATTCTCAAGAAATGACCATCAGTACTGAGTCTAAGGCTGGGAATTAGGGTCCTCAGTGTGCCACAGAGTACACATACTAAAAGTAGTAATCAGTGTATATTTTAGTCAGATGACTAATAATTTTGTTACCTTAGGATTTGGTGAGTTTTATGGCTTGGTTTGGAAAACTGTCTTGGGAAGTTTGAGTTCATACTGTCTTATGTTGCAATAAATTTTCCTTATAGCTTGAGGAATTGTGAATGCTGCTCTTTAGATTGAGGGCTTGTCTCCTTTTCCCGATGCCATTCATACACTGTACACGTCAGGGTCAGTTAAGATTTTTCTTGAAATTAAAAAAAAAAAAAAGTAAGTTGTGTTTTTTCTAATCAAAAAAGGTGGGGTGTTGCTATCCTTTGTATTACTGTGTTTTTCAGTCACTTAATAATAGAAGCACAGTGAAAAGTGGTTTGAGCAGCACTATTGCTGGGAGACTGGAAACGGGAAGATCTTGGGTAGTCGGTTCTGAAGTCAGAAATCCAGTTTGTGGGCAGATTGTCCTGACTTCTAATACTGAGGTTATAGGATGACTGAGTGCAGCAGAACCTGCCCTTGCAAAGCCGGACGCGGTAGGAAAACAGTCTTCCTCAGAAAGTCACTGGCATACTTTACTCTTGTTTTTCAGCTGACTGAGGTGTATGACATGCTCACTCAGTAACATCAGCGGAGAGGAGTGAGACTGTCCTTCTTCCAGGGTGGGCATTTTCTTCTGAAAGAACCCCAGAATTGAGGATAGGCAGCAAGGAGCAGGCCTCGATCCGATGAGGTCCATCTCCACAGTGTGTGGAGTGATTTTAGCTCCTGCCTTGTAGCTACCTTCGCAGCTATTATTTCCCGAAGTCCTACTCTCCAGTCTATTTTGAGCGGGGAAACCCTGCAGGAATTTACAGGTCAGGACACTAAAAAATAATGTGAGCATGAGGTAACAAAAGAAAATGATGAAAGGTATAAAGAAGTTTAAAAGCCCATATAAAATAGCACAAAAGTGCAAGCTTTGAGATGTAGTTACCTTTGAAACGATAAAATTGCTGATGTTCTCTTTCTAGGTGAAGATGGCTCTGCGAACATCAGGACATCTCTTACTGGGAGTAGTGAGAATCTATCACAGGAAAGCCAAATACCTTCTTGCAGATTGTAATGAAGCATTCATCAAGATAAAGATGGCCTTTCGGCCGGGTATTGTATCTTTCTTTTCTTTTCTTTCCTTTTTAAAAATTTTTACTTTTGGTGTTTTCCGCGTTTTATTGGAAAATGTTAAACACATAGTCTAGCTCAGAATATTGTTTTATTTCCATAACAGTGCAAGAAACCTTCAAAGATAAGACAAGACACTTGGAGAGGCAGTAGTTCCAGGGAAGCCTGCTCTTCCTACCTGTGGAATACAACAGTTTTTTACCTCTTCTTTTCTTTCTAGAAACTTACATAGAAGTGAGTCATCAGAGGTTGAAATATAGACAACTACTTATAAATCAAAAAAGACAGTTTTAAGATTTTTGTTTTTCCTAAATAATTTTAATGTACTCTAAAAGTCAAATTCACTTTTAATATATTGGTGTAGTTATCAGAATTCATGTATTATGTTAATTTTTAAGCAGCAATGAAATTTTACATAAAATCAATGTATGAGATTGTTCATAAAATAGTTTCTATTGAAGTTATATTCTAGTACTTCAGTTCATTTTAGTGCATGAAATGTTTTGAGATCTAAGATTTTATTTAAAAGTAAAATATTGAGGCAAAGTCTGACATTTGAATGATTTCTAAGATATGGCCCCTAAATGCATTTTATTTAAATAACATGCTTTTGTTTATTTTTGTCTTTTAAAGTAATAAGTGTGTGTCGTAGTTAGCTTGAAATATATATCTTTTTCCCCCTTTTAAAGATTTATTAGCTTAATGCATAATTATTCCTTTGGCTTTTTTATTTAAAGAAGTGATGTGGCTTATAATAGAAAAACCGTAACTTTTACTTCAAAGCACTTTGCGTATGTTATGTTGTCACCTGGCCTAGAATACAACCTCAGGAAATTATTCACATTTTACCACCTCATCCCTGGGGAATCTGTGGACATCAGGCCGCCTTGAGCATAACATTTCTTTTCCAGGTGTTGTTGACCTGCCTGAGGAAAATCGAGAAGCAGCCTATAATGCCATCACATTACCTGAAGAGTTTCATGACTTTGATCAGCCTCTGCCAGACTTAGAGTATGTCCTCTCTGTGCCTACCTCGCTCCCTCCCACACCCCCAGCTTGGTGTACAAAGCATATTACTGATTTCCAAGTATTTAGTTGTTATATTGAGTTAACTCTACCTGAAAGGCATGTGCTCTTATTTTGGATAAGGTATAGCTATAAAACATTATCTAGAAAGTATTTCTTCTGTAAGAAAGTTGGATGTCAACTTGTAATTTATTTTTAATATTTTTTCAAAGGTATATTACAGTTACCTACTAGCAGTCTTCTTGGCCAAACTGTGCTCAGAGCCTGTTTGTTTGTTTGTTTTTTATAAATAAACTTTCTGTGAAGAGTAAGAGAATTTCGTTGTCACAGCACATTTCAGAGGAGAAAGTCATGCCTTATAGATGCTGCTGTAGCAGCGCTGTGGAATGTTGTTTGCCTCTTCCTAAGTCCTTCAAGTCCAGCTGCTCTCCCATGGGGAGTCATCATCTGGACCCAGCCCCACTCTGACTTTTGAGATGATCTGTGACTTTTAGAATAAATGTGTCACCTATTTGCCTGTTTCGTGTTTGTAGTGGACAGTATTTAGCTGTTTTACGTTCTTTCTCTCCTTATACCATACCTATCATTTTACTTTAAATTATTTTGTCATGACAGTTTTTAAATGTAGCTAAAAGCAAAGAGTTATAAACCTCATGTTTCAGTTTATTTATCAGTATATTGCCAGATTTTTTGTTGTTTCTTTTGTTTTGTATTTGATTTGGGTGGGGTGTTTGGTTGCTTGTTTGGGTTTCTTTTGAGTCAGTCTTGTTACATTGTTCAGGCCAGCCTTGAACTTCCTATGTAGCCCAGGCTAGCCTCCAACTCTCAGCAATCCTCCTGCCTCAGCCTCCCGAGTGCTGGGATTACAGGCCTATGCCGTCACGCTCAGCAGTGCCAGTTTTATTTTATCTGTTTTTCCAGCTTACCTCCCACCCCATCTAAATTATTTTAAATTAAGTAACATTTCATCTGTAGTAATTCAGTATTGTCTCCACAGAGGTAAGGGATTTTTTAAAAACAAATCCATAATGGTATCACACCTTAGAAATACCAGTAATTTCTTCGTGTGATGCTCTGTCAGCATTTAAATGTTCCCAGTTGGCTTATGAAAAAGTTTGTTTTCTCTCTACCTGTGCATTTATTTTTCCTTTCAGTTTGGGATCACATACGTCTGCACACTGCATTGAATAGCTGCCCACCCACGAGCTCTGTATCTCTCTTGTTTCCTTCTTTACTGTTTGTGTCCCAAGCAAACTGTATCATTTGTTTTGAAGAATTTACATTCTGGATTGGTGTTTCACATTACATATTTTTATTTAATATTTTTTAAACTATGTAAGAGATAATTACTGTATTTAATAGAGAATCTGGGCCTCAGAGAAATCAGGCAATTTCAGAGTTCACTCAGCCTGTGAACTGCAGGGTCCTGATGAAAACCGACACAACTCATTTTTATTCCCTCTACGGTGCATACATACATAAGGTACTCTGTTAGTCACATTTTGTTGATGATTCTTCATGGTTTTCGCATTATAGGTACACAGTAACTTCCGTATTATTCTTGGATAGTTCTGAAATTTAAATATGAAGCTTCTAAAACTGGGTTGTAAGTATAGAAAGAATTTCCCCTCATAAATATATTATAGTTTGGACCTGAAACTAAAATGTGTTTGAACTTCATTTATAGTGACATTGATGTAGCCCAGCAGTTCAGCCTGAACCAGAGTAGAGTGGAAGAGATAACCATGAGAGAAGAGGTTGGGAACATCAGTATCCTCCAGGAAAATGATTTCGGTGAGAGATGCAAACTGCTAGCCGTTAGTTACGGTGTAATTATGTGTCACCGCTAGCAGCTTGTAAATTTGATTCTTACATATTACATTCTTATGACAGAAAGACTTTAAGATTTAATTTAGTTTTTCAAGAAAAGAATTTGCCTTTCCGGGGATTTAGCTCAGCGGTTCCACCACCTGCCTTGCAAGCGCAAGGACCCAATTTCAATCCCCAGTACCGAAAAAAAAAAAAGAATTTGCCTTGCTGTCAGTATAGTGTCATTTCCTTTAATAGACCAAACGAGTTCAGTTTTTGCCTATCTGCTCCCCATCCTGTGGTAGAACCTATATTTTAATTTGTATGAAAAGTCTCAGCGTTAAAATAGTATTTACTTTTAAACTGAGCATTTGGAATGATTACTTATATTTGTGCAGCCCCTGTTCCAAGCCTGACAGCATCTTTCTGATGAAAACGCGTTGTAACAAAGTTGACACCCATGAATATTAATGAAACCAAACATTACATAACTACGTTTACCTGACATAGTTAGGATAACCTGAATTTAGATCAAAGTCTGATTTTGTTAGTCATGCCCCAGAGTTGCAAAGTTTAAAAAGATAAATAAGCAAATAGAACATCACTGTAATACAGCATTAGCTGTCGCCCTTTTTAACCGTGGTATTTCTCACCTTTCCCGACTCATGGCTTCCTGTAATCTCTTCAGGCGACTTTGGAATGGACGATCGTGAGATCATGAGAGAAGGCAGTGCTTTTGAGGATGATGACATGTTGGTCAGCACTAGTGCGTCTAACCTCCTCCTGGAGCCTGAGCAGAGCACCAGCAATCTGAATGAGAAGATCAACCACTTAGAGTACGAAGACCAATACAAAGATGACAACTTCGGAGAGGGAAATGATGGCGGCATATTGGGTAGGTCTCCAGATGTCGGTGTGAACTCTGTTCAGTTGTGATGTTCTGGAGCAGTTGCTAATTGTCTGTCTTGAGCAGCTGTCCAGGTACATATTGTGAGGTACTATCAGTAGGCTCAGTTAAAGTTTTCTGTAATACTAACCTGAAAGTGTTAAAAGCAAACCTAATTTTTGTGAAGATGCTTATGTCAGAGTTCCAAAGTTTATTACTTTTCTAAGCTGTGCTGCTATCTGTATCGATGTATTTTTAGATACGTGAACTAGGAAATAAAAGTGATGAATGCCAAATTTTTCACTTACTGTCACACAATACTTATATAAACTACCTTGATCAGAAACATCCAAATTGAATACAGGTTTAAATCAAATCCACCTTTCACATAATTTCTAGTCTTTTGGCATTTCCCTTTCAGATGCTAAATGTCCTCTTCTCTTCCAGATGACAAGCTCATTAGTAACAATGACGGTGGCATCTTTGACGACCCCCCGGCACTGTCTGAGGCGGGCGTGATGCTGCCCGAGCAGCCTGCGCACGAGGACATGGATGAGGACGACAACGTGTCCAGTGAGCACTTGACCCCCAGCGGCCGGGTGACAGGGCGCCCAGAACGATGCCCGAGAGCAGGCCCCGGGCAGAGGTTCTGCCTCTCGGCCCGCGAAGACACTGACTGCTTCTCAGTCACGAACCCTGAGCTCTCCCTCTTCTGTGCATTTGAGTTCAGCTTTGGAGGCACTACCTCAGACATAGAATTTTTTCTTACTAACAGTGGGATTTCTTTCTGTTTCAAAGAGGGGCTTCTTTTCCCATTTGTAGATTATACGTCCTGTGCCTAAGCCTGTTGTGACCACGTTTGTTTTTATAGTGGGTGGACCTGATAGTCCTGATTCAGTGGATCCCGTTGAACCCATGCCAACTATGACCGATCAAACAACACTTGTTCCGAATGAGGAAGAGGCGTTTGCTTTGGAACCTATTGATATAACTGGTAAGCACGCCTTAGATTATGCAGTCTGGGGAGCACAAGGTCTAGTTCTGGTTTTCGCCTGTCCACTGATCTGCTGTTCTCGTTGAAGACAACGAAGCTGCTTCCTCCTTTGTGCCAGCGTCTATCTCTGAGTCTTTACTCTGTCTAGATAGAGCTGGGATGTTCTGTAGAGTGTCTCTGCTCGTGGCTGTGAAAGCAGAGAACAAGCTTAGTACTTGTTACTTAGCATTTTGAGGTTCCCAGATCTTTGCAGTGCATGTGTAACAATAAGAAAACATTGCAGGTTTTTACCATAAGTTCGACTGCTCGGTTACCATTTAAAAGCTGTAAATTCTTTAAGTTTGGGCTGCAATCTTAGAAAATCTAAAAATGGTCTTTCAGAAGAAAGTAAGTATAAAAGATTCTGAGCTAATCTTTTAGTGCTTATTAAACTTTACAAAACATATTTAATGGATGGTTGCTCCTGACTAAAAAGCAGTTTGCAGTATATAAATGGGAACGTGAAGCACTGCTAGGGTGCTCCGCTTGCGGCTGGGAGAAGTGGGGAGAGGACACGAGAGACTCCACTGCACTGTACTTTTTTACCTCATTTTTTGAACTTCATGAACGTTTTATATATAAAAACTTGACATATGGCAGAATAAGATCTTGAGCGGTTTATTTAATCCCATGAGCTTCTCAGAAAACCAACATAATACTGTCCACTTTGCAAGGTTGTGAGGATTAGAAACAATAAGTAAACATGGGGTGGAGGGAGTTTTGGGTCTGTGATTGGACTTGGGCTTGTTTTACTTTATCAACTGTCACAGAGAAGTCACGACTTGGCCGTTAAATGGCACAGTTTTTATAGCCATCTGTGGGAGGCTGTCTGTGTCAATATGCTGAGTTTTTCATGCCCTCCTGTGTTTGGTTGACCCTATTTCAGATTGTTAAAATGATTTTTTTTTTTTTTTGGTACCGGGGATTGAACTCGGGTCCTTCCGCTTGCAGGGCAGGCCACCGAACTGCTGAGCTAAATCCCCAGCCCAAAGGTTTTTGATTCTTTTTTTTTTTTTTTTTTTTTTTTTTTTTTTTTTTTACTTACATAAGGTGAAGTTAACTTTTCAGTCACACAGCTGTTAAGTGTCAGAACGCAGTACTCAGGCCCAACTCTGAGTCAAGTCTGATGTATCCATGGCAGGAGCCAAAACTGTACTCACCCCTCATTCAGCACATTTTTATTGGAGACCTGTTGTGTGCCAGCCTCTGTTGTGTGTGCTTGTCAGCATGGGTAGAACGGTAAGCCTAGATCCAGTAGCACTTTGTTTCCTCTTGGCCTCCCAGAAAAGTGACCTTATTTTCTTTTATTCTAGTCAAAGAAACAAAAGCCAAGAGGAAGAGGAAACTGATTGTTGACAGTGTCAAGGAGTTGGATAGCAAGACTATTAGAGCCCAGCTTAGTGACTATTCTGACATTGTTACAACGTTGGACCTGGCGCCGCCCACCAAGAAGTTGATGATGTGGAAAGAGACAGGAGGAGTAGAAAAGCTGTTCTCTTTACCTGCTCAGCCTCTATGGAATAACAGACTACTGAAGGTGATATATTTTAGGCCACCAACATTTTTTTTCTTTTTGGTACCAGGGATTGAACTCATGTCCTTGTGCTTGCCAGGCAGGCAGTGGGGCTACTTGAGCTAAATCCCCGGCCCAACAGTAATAGTAACAGTAATAAATAGTCCTCTTTTACCATCCTCTTAAAAACTTTTCTCCATAACAGTACCTTGTTGTGCACTGGACTTCAAGTCTCCACCCATCAGACACTGACTTAGTGAAGCATGAGGCGGTTCTGCTTCTCCACAGCGCCGGGCTCTGGCTTTCTGAGAATTTCTGTCCCTCATAGACTGTTCTCTGTGTGCACTGGATCCGAGGTGTTTCCGAGTAAGGGTCAGAGGTGCCTGGTTTGTGAACAGTGAGGAAGGTGCCACAGAGGATGGACGTGTGCCAGGCCCCAGTGAGCCTACTCGTTTCACTGCAGTCTGTTTCTGAACTAAGCAACGAGGCTGTGAAGAAGCTACTTTTAATTGGAAGCACTGTCACATGATTTTGTAAAAGATTCTTAAAATTTCTTCTTTGATCTAAGAGACTTTTAGAATTTTTTCTTAAGGAAGTAGTACTTCAAAGTATGGGGAAAGCCCCTCTGTGAAGATAATTAAATTGTTGTTGAACAGTTAAAAAATGAGGACTGTAAAATAGTAGGGACAACAGAGTGGTGGGGCCGGTGGGACGTACCTGTCCCTCACACCCAGAGGGCTGTTGTGTGGCTGATAGAAACGTTTAAGTGTAGTTACTAAGGCGTACCACGGGACAGGGAGGGAGAAGCGCTTCGTGAACCCTTCTGGTAGAAGCATTTCCGTTGAGTTTTCAGTTTATGAATGTCAAGTAAACCGTGGACAAATAAAATCTTAAGGGTAAAAATGATAGATAAAAATAATTATTTCAAGTTTTTCTAAAATTGCTTCATGATTTAAAACCTTGTATTTGAAAGTATTTTAGAGTGGAATTAGGTGTGAGTGATAGTTAAGTAGAAACGTCGGTGGTGGGTTTTCGTGCACTGTGATTTATTTTCAAGTCAATATATTTCTCTTCTTTAATAGCTCTTTACACGCTGTCTCACACCGCTTGTGCCAGAAGACCTTAGGAAAAGGAGGAAAGGAGGCGAGGCAGATAACCTGGATGAGTTCCTCAAAGAATTTGAAAACCCAGAGGTTCCCCGAGAGGACCAGCCGCAGCAGCATCAGCAGCGGGACGTTATCGGTTGGTATTGTCGGCCGTGGTTCTCAATGAGGCATCAGTAAATATTTGACTTAACTTTATTTCCAAAGTAAAAGAAACATGGGAGGAAAGCGTGTGCCCTGGTTCATGGACCTGATGGCCATGTTAGGTACAGGGCCAGGTCCGGGTTAGGGTTCGGGATGGCCAGGTTGGCATCTGCCATGCGCTGGTGGCGTCCAGAACCTGTCAAAGCAACCGGCCCGCACAGGAGGTGAGCAGCGGGCGGGCAAGCCCCGCTGCGTCTGTATCTACAGCTCCTCGTGTCCAGCTCTGCTTCCTGACAGATCGGAGGTGGCGTTAGATTGTCCTCCGCGTCCTGACGTGTGCTCCCTATGAGTAGCTCATCCCAAACCGTCAACACACACATCCTGTCTCATGCCAGACAGGCCTGGTCCCTGGTGCCGGAATGCTGAGGGACATTGCGCTGGAGGCTGGTCCTGCGTGGGGCTGGGGTGGAGCTCATCCCGGGCAGACCTTTCTCCCCTTGATGTGTATTGCTGCAAGTTGAATTGTCTCCATAGAGCTAAAATTCTTTCGGTCGTCTTCATCAGAGAAAGTAGCTGTGCTTTGTGTGAGTGCACAGCTTTTAAAAGTACAGCGCCCTGGGGAAGCAGTCAGAGCTGTTTGACCTGAGTCTGTCCACGCGGTAATTGCAGATGAGCCCATTTTGGAGGAGCCGAGCCGCCTCCAGGAGTCTGTGATGGAGACCAGCAGGTCCAACATGGATGAGTCGGCCATGCCTCCGCCACCGCCGCAGGGAGTGAAGCGCAAGGCTGGACAGATTGACCCGGAGCCTGTGGTCCCTGTAAGTAAGCCCAGCCTTGGTCAGTAGCAAGACGGGTCTGAGGAGCCCCTGTGAAGTGTCTTGCTTTAAGCAGGAAATGGCAGGGAGTGGGTCCAGGCGTGAGCACGGTCCCCGCCGCGCTCTGCTGGAGCGCTCTGGCTGCAGAGTGATCCGGATGAGAAGGCTTGTTCCTGAGCTTGGTTCCGGTTTACTCTTCCGCAGACCTTCCTGCTTATCACCAGTAGGAGGCAGTTTTAGGTTTCTTCCTAAGTATCCCACGTAGACTTTTCAGGTAGTTGAGAAAGAGCAGTGTCCGGCAGTGTCTGGCTGCTCCATTTATACTTTGGCTACCATTGCATTCAGCTAGGTTAGGAAAAGAAAGTACGGTCTGCTTTAGTCTTCCCAGTTTTCAATCAAGGAATAACCTGGAGGAGAGGAGGCTCGTGGTAACGTTGGGCTCTTGGTTCGGCCTGCACGGAGAGCTACTGGTGGAAAGCTCTGCCAGTTTCAGGGACCACTTCTCCGCCCGCTGGCGGTATGGAGTTGTCGGCAAGGCTCTTGTCCCTGTGAGCTCAGGAACAGGACCGGGTCGTGGGTAGGAAGCTCCAGTGCCGCTCTCCTCCTGGTAACTCCGGTTGAGATTTTAGTTTTTTGTTTCTTTTTTTTTTTTTTTTTTGGTACTGGGGATCAAACTTGGGTCCTTGCGCTTGCGAGGCAGGCCACTGAACCACTGAGCTAAATCCCCTGCCCCGATTTTGGTTTTTTGTATGTTCTCAGCTATTTATATTAAGCCCGAAAGGAAAGAAACACAGGAGGCAGGCTCAAAAAGTATCTCATTCCTATTGTTTGTCACTATAAAAGTTTGAGAGTCAGAGCTTTAAGATTTTAAGGTACCTTGTAATAATTTTAAAACAATTTTAAAAGATGATAGTACATTATACTCAGCTAATGGATTATATTTTTTTGTTTCTAAAATGCTCTTAGAGTAAGTTTTTCTTTTATTTTTTATTTTATGGCTAGTAGTTTTTATTTTATAGACTTAAATATTTCATAAAAATGAAAACCTTATGTTTTAGGATAGTGGTTAGTTTTTTCGCAAAAGCTGCTTTAATGTCACTTTACAGTTGAAGAAAAGACTACTATAACCGTGTTTTCGGTTATGGGAAGACATGGAGGTATCACCGTAGCGTCCCCAGCTAGAAGGCTGAGCACCTGTCTTGGGAGTATAGAAGCTGCCTGTTAGTGCGCACCTCAGGTTGCTCTGTTCTCTTCAGCCTCAGCAGATAGAGCAAATGGAGATACCGCCTGTAGAGCTCCCCCCGGAAGAGCCCCCAAACATCTGTCAGCTCATCCCGGAGTTAGAACTCCTGCCCGAAAAGGAGAAGGAGAAAGAGAAGGAGAAAGAGGATGATGAAGAGGAAGAGGTAAGGAAGCTGTAAGACACATACCTGAGGAGTAAATTCCTATTCCAGATTTAGCAGAAGTCTTCACAAAAAACTTACTTTTACTATTGTGCTAAATTAATTGATGTTACACCTCAGTGAACAATGTTCAGATAAGATCTAAATCACCACTGAGTACATTACACTTAATGCTGCGCTGTGTTCATGGGCTCCTTTGTGGTTTTGGAAGGGCATAGGCTGCCCTTGTGCTGAGTGCTTGCTTGGCTTCTAACTTGCTCCTAGTGGCCGTTTCTGATCCGTGGTCAGTGGTCAGTGCTCACTGCAATCACGGCCGTTCTCTGCTGCGCTGTCTTCTCTGTCTGCAGTTGCCACTTGTCTGGATTTTGGTCTTGTTTCAGTGAGACCAGGTCAGATCATGACTGGATGGAGTGGTCTGTGTGAACATCACAGTGGCTTACTTAAGAGTAGAGAGGTATAGCGATGGATTTCCTTTTCCTCGGGTGTGTTGTAGTTTTTCAAGGTCCTTTTAATTTCTCCCAACCTCAGCCATAGAAGTTAGTGCTTTCTTTTAATATAAATAGTGCATTATTTTAAAGTCTGATTTAATGTCACAGCTACTCCAGTATGTGTGCCCTTGTCTCGGTATCAAATCGGTATTTAAAACTCTTGTGCTGCTTTCTTTCTGTTGTGTATGGAGCTGCTGGCTTCGTTCCTCTTTCTGGAATGTGCTGTGTAGTTCTGGAGCAGCAGCTGCCCCACACCTCTTCCGGGCTCAGTCCTGGCAGCAGGCCTGGGTGACAGCGCCTGTCCTGTGCTCCACAGCAGAGCCCGTCACGGTCCACTCCGCTTGTCAGCAGGCGCCTGGATACTAGACTCAGCCAGAATGTACGCACCCAGACAGTCACTGCGCAGAGATAGATGCATCGAGTGGAAATAAACACAACACTCATCGCCATCATCATTTGATGTCATTGCATAGGTTAGCAGCTGGTGACCAAGGAGCTTGATGAGCCGCGGCCGTCACTTGCCTACTCCGTGTAGACCACACACTCGGGCAGCAGTGCAGGACGGTGCCCTCTGGGCACTCGGCCGCCGGGACAGGGCTTTCCTTTGTCACTGAAGGACAAACTTCAAAATGCGTCCTAGACACCCTGTGAATTTATTTATTTTTTTTTTGTAAGCATCATCAAGTACAGCTTTCTGTTAGATTACACGGTCTGAATTCATCTAGAGCGTTTAAGTGGTACAAATTTTGCTTTGTGACAAAGCAAGTTTAACAGCTTTTGGGTATCCTTTTCGTTCAGGAAGAAGATGCTTCAGGGGGTGATCAGGATCAAGAAGAAAGGAGATGGAACAAACGGACCCAGCAGATGCTTCATGGTCTTCAGGTATGCGAATGAATCTTAGAGCAAAGGCTCGTCAGTCCCTGTCAGCACTGGTCCCTCAGAAGTCATGTTACAGCAGGAAGATGGGCCTTTACAAACTTCCAGAACCACATCATTTTAAAATGCCCGGCTGAGTACATACACTGGCAGGCTAAGAGCACCCAGAGTGCTTTGCCATGGTTTTCCTGAAAAGCAGACCCGTGGTGCTATCTCAGGGAACGCTGTGTGTGTCTGCATCTTGGGACGAGCAGAGAGGTCTTGAGCTTGTTGGCTCACTACAGAGCAGCAGGTTTCACCTGTCCCTGAGCCTCCATGCACCAGGTACAGACATCTCAGGTTCTGAAGTACCAGTCAAGTTGCTCTCGGTTTCCTAAAATACTAGACTGACACAAAGTTTTAAGTATAAGCGCTAGATTTTACTGTTGTGTCACATTAGCTGTCCAAAGAGATGAATGACGTTGGTCACAGTGGAAGAACTTTGCTTGTTTCTTGGGCTTTGGTTTGGACAGACATAATGTGCTTTGGCCCTTTACCTCCTTAACATGGGAATCAGTCATACGGTATTCACAGCAGCCCCCGCCCAGTTCCGGCATACAGCACATACAACACGTAGCTTTTCCAGCACCCGATGTGGACCCTTTATATTTCTTATGGAAACTGCTTCAATTCATTCTTTTTTGGTTTTATTCCAGCGAGCTCTTGCCAAAACTGGAGCTGAATCTATCAGTTTGCTTGAGTTATGTCGAAACACAAACAGAAAGCAGGCTGCAGCGAAGTTCTACAGCTTCTTGGTTCTCAAGAAGCAGCAGGCTATCGAGCTGACGCAGGCAGAGCCCTACAGCGACATCGTCGCCACCCCCGGCCCGAGGTTCCACATCATTTGAGGAGCTGAAGGTGTGGAAGCCCGTGCTCGGGGCACACGAGAAGACCTTTGAGAAAATTTCGTTTTTTGTCTGTACAAAATCTCTGCCTTTTCTTTCATTTTTTCAAGTGTTTTTAATTTGTGGATTTCACCTTTAAGGGAAATTGCTTGTATGGGTTGTGTTTGTGTTGCGATGGAGAAAACAGCACCCCAAGAGCCCAGAAGATGATTTTTTAACAGTTCAGAACAGATGTGTGCAATATTGGTACATGTAATAATGTTAACTGTCAAAAGTCATGATTTTTAGTACTCTCTTACTGCGTCAAAAGAAAAACCTGTCTAGGAAAATGCCTGGCAGTTTAATTCAGAACTACGGTATGTCTTTGACAGGAAAAAGTGTCTTCCCATCAGTAAACTAGCCGTCTGGCTGACTGTGCCTAGGGACGGTGCCTGGAGCGAGAAGATCATCCCGTGGTGTTTAAAGTGTGGCTCCGGACCGCGCAGGAGTGTGGATTTGTGTTGACTGAGCCCTCGGCCATGCAGATAGGGCTGACCTGGTGTAAACCCTTGTGTCTTAGAAGTGAATCATTCCATTCGTCTTCTTGGTGAACTTTGCTGTTGTAGTGCAGCTCCAAAATGACCAGAGGTAGACTTGTTAAAGTGGAATAATTTTTTTAAAAATGCCTGACTTTCCAGGAGCTATAAATGAGTTTTCAGACCATGAAGATAGAAATTCTCCTGCGGACAGAAAGGGCAAACAGGTGGGACAGTACACATCAAGCTGGCTTAGCCTTTAAGCAGACAGTGCTGTAAAAACTAATGGCTTCTCTGATATTTATTATAAATGTTAGTACTGATCTCTCTTTCCAGTGCTGCACACTCCTGTGTTTGGAACTTTATTTTAATAGCTTTGCAGCTGAAATCCATTATCTGGTTTCCTGTAATTTAAATGAAGATAAACACATCCAAATAAAGGCTTTATTATTAACAGACCAGATAGCACCAGAAATTATGTGACTGTCCATGATTATCATAACGTCTTAACTTTTTAGGGCAAAATTACACTGAAAGTTCTGGCTTAAGTGTTGGCACTTTTGTGGGGAAAAAAATCACTTTTGAAACTCAGACTTCAGTGTATACCCAGTAATTTAAAATTATGTGATATGTTTTAAATTTGAGAACTCGTAATTACTGTTTTAACGATTCAGTTTTTGAGACTGGTAATTGTATAAAATTGCTATTGCAGTTTTATTTTCAATATGATGTGCCTGTAAACCATGGTCCTCCCCCCTTTGTAAAAAGACATTGTAGATAATCAAATGTTTGATTACAGAAAGGTCATTAGTTTCCCGTTACACATTTCGTTAGTCTGGTTTTTGTTGCTTATCGGGTTTAATATTGTTCATGAAAATAGTTGATGCTATGTTATGTATAACTTTTCTAATAAAAGTTGTGTTATAATCTGTTAATTTTGGAGTATTGGTTTTTATTGGTGGTGTTTACCAGAAGAAAAAAATTGGCTGACGAAGTTAAGGTGGCCAGGTGCCTCCTCGGCTCACCTCACTGGAGTAAGTACTGCACAGTTAGGTGGATTTGGGAGGCGGGGTGACGACACGCCTATCAGGTAGCATAGTCCTAGCGTGGCGGTAAAAGACTACGCGATCGTAAGCCAGTTAAGCAAGAAGCTTCAAGTTCGTGAATACACAAGCTCATTCTCCACCTCCATGCAGCGTACGTTGTGGCGTGGAAACAGATTTTAGGTCAGAAACCTAGAATATAGGATGGGATGCGTTATTAGGGTGATCAGAATAGGCCCTTGGGGAAGATGGGGCTCTCAATGAACAACCTTGGAGGTGTAGACGGCATGGGCAGGTGCAGAGTGCGGAGGGGATGTGCTAGGGAAGCTGTCCCTGAAGCCCAAGGTAGAGCAGGACCGTACAGCTGGGACAGGGCGTCGGGCTGTGAGGCGGGAGGTACGGGGTGAGCTGTGCCGTGTCGAGGAGGACTTCACGCCATCGCTGCTGCTGCAGTCACCAGAGCTTCCAGAAGCACATCTGGCCCTGCTTGAGAAATTCCACCTGGGTGGAAGGAACTTGACCGAGGCTGCTGTCAGCCCGAAACCTTGGTGTGTCCACTGGGCCTGAATGCTGACAATGCCTTGTATTAGGTCTGACTTTCTGATTAAATGTTCTAGCTTCCTAAAGTGAGTACTGAATGAGTCGCAGTTAATCGGCAATGCTGTTCTGCCCCTGTAGGAACTTCAGGTTTAAGACATCTTTTGAGGCCTCAGGAGGTGGGCTCGACGCTAGAGTGCTCGTCTGCCATGTGCAAGGCCTGCGTTCAGTCCACAGATGGCCAAACTGAAAGGCTGTAAGACATCTTTTGAGACTCTTCCTAAGTCAATAGAAAATAATCACAAATTCTTAGATTTCAGAAGGCTCCTTCCGGAGCCAGCTATGGAAAAAAAATCCAAGCCTGAAGGCAGGACATCTACCTCTTCTGGAACCCTGCCTGTTAACTTCCAGAAGTTGTGATCTGCCGGTTAATGTAATATACTGTACTCGGCTACTCAGCAGTATTTCTCCTGAAGCCATGTTTGAAAGAAAAAAAAACATCAAGTTAGACCTGGTAGATGATCTCAGTACCATAAATAAAATGAAGCAGTCATAAAAGGTGAAATACTGCATAGTATCTCTACTATGAAAGACCCCAAATATAAGCGTGTTAACCAAAAAAGCCGTATTAAACAGGGAGGCAGTCCTAGTAGAGATGGCAAGGGGACCTGAGAGAGGAGGGAGAAGATGGTAAAAGTGACCGAGGTTCCACATGTATATTATCAAACCCTCAAGCTGAACGCAGTCACTGTATCACACACGTACTAATGAGAAAAGAAAGGTGCTGGACGCCCACGGTGGAATATTACTAAGCCATGAAAAGTGACATTCTGTCGTCCACCGTAACGTGACTGGAACTGGAGGAAGTGATAGTAGAATGAGTGAGACACGTATCGCGTGTTCTCGCCTGTGTGTGGGAGCCAAGCAGTTGGCCTCCACGTAGAGACCAGACAGTGACTGCCAGAGCGAGGGAAGGGGCTGGGAGGGGTGGGAAGTGGACCATGATGGAGGAAGCGTAGGTTGGGTGGGAGCACAGCTTCCGGGGTTCCATAACAGCGTAGGGAGGGCGGGTGACAATCAGTTGAATATTTCAAAATAACTAGCAGGGAAGATTTTCAATACTCCCAACTAAAATCTTTCATCTGGGGTGACAGATACACAGAGCACAGCTCGGGGTTCCATAACAGCGTAGGGAGGGCGGGTGACAATCAGTTGAATATTTCAAAATAACTAGCAGGGAAGATTTTCAATACTCCCAACTAAAATCTTTCATCTGGGGTGACAGATACACCTTTACCTGTGTGCTTCTGCATTTGAATATCACTGAGCCCCCCGAATATGTACAGTTCCTGTGCCCACTTGAAATATTATAACTTGAAATTAATTGCTTGGCTTCACGGAACACTTCGTCTCACTGAACCGAGTGAAGGTTCGGCGGGGTGTTTTTGGCAAACAGAGAGCTGGGGCGGGGGCGGACCAGCGACGCGCTCTCCGGCGGTGCGCGCGCCCGGTTGTGAGAGGCAGCGGGATTCCTGGGAGCTCTGCACACAGCACCCAGGTCCAGCCCTTGGGCCTCGCCTCCGTGGTTCTTGTGGAGTCGACTTCATGAGCCGCAAGGAGAGCAATCTCTGTCACTGGGACAGGGCTGGCTCCTGGGCTGGCTGCTTCTGCTCTTCTCTCTCATTTTCATTGGGGGTGGGGACCGGGGATCAGACTCAGGACCTGGTGCTTGTGAGGCAAGCGGCAGAGCCGCTGAGCTACAGCCCCGTGACTGCAGTACACGGTGACCACATTCGTCAGGGGAGGTGATCCGGGTACATCACACAGTTCAGTTCCCTTTACTGCCCCTTCCCTCCTCCTCCTCTTCCTCCTCTTCATCCCCTTCCCACGTTAGAAAGATCTATCTCCTTATTTCCTATTACCCATCTTTTATGTCGCTTTTTACTTTATTTGTACTTTGAGGTTCTCAGTCCTTTGTTGGATTCTCCGGGCACATGGGAGCACTGGCATGACCATTCCCTTCAGGGGAAGCCCTGCTAACTCCTGCTGGGATGACCGTGCACCCACGACCGGATGGAAAGGTCTTCTGAGAAGCAGGACTTGAAAGGTACAAACATGGAGGCGCAAGTCTCATCTGAGCTCCGAAGCCAACCATACAGAGGTTCTCAGGAGTTCATGAGTGCTCACGGAGTCTCACTGGGTTTGTCCCAGGAATGCACACGGGTCACAGGCACGGTGGCCGAGGCAGGCAGGCTGTTCCTAGACGGTGTTTTCAGATGCGGGAGTTCAAGCTCTTCCGAAGGCTGGCAGCACCTGGCACCCCCAGTGCAGGGAGGTAGAGGCCTCTGTGGTCAGCTATTACTTAGGCTCTTGGACTAATTAGTTCTCAATGGGCCGACAGCTGTGCAGTGGGACATTTTCATACAATTCCAGCCTTCCAAGCTGAGCAAACTGCTACAAGGTCATTTCCAGAAGGCGTCTGTCCAAAGGGCTTCTCCAGCCTGCTCTGACTCTCCCAGCTGCTGCCAGTCTCCTAAGTGCTGTGGCGAAGAGAAAGGGCCCAGCAGCAGTGGCCTCACTTTGCTGAGGGAGTCTGGCCTTGCGCCTGAGGACACAGGCCCAGAACCAGGCTCCTGTGCAGAGGAAGAACTAACGCCAGTACAGTCCCAGCACTGTGCGTGGCCTCCGGTAGCCACTCCAGGGCTGTGAGCTGATGTTTGGGCCACTTACACTTGCAGAGTGCTTTACCCTGAGCGAGGAAGCACCCTGGGAACAAAGCAGAGACAGCTTCGCTCACGCGGTTACACTTCCAGGCCAGCTGGTAAGAGAATCAGGATGGCTTCTTCAAAGCAGCAAACCCTCCTTCCATTCCCCCAACGATGATTCCATTCATCCTCTCTATTTCCACAATATTTTGTGCATGCCTCGGTGATGAAATAAACGCTTCACAGTGCCCAGTGGTGTACCTGTTTCCTTTTCTTGACCACCTGACTGTGGGCTTTGGGAAGTCCTCGTGGAGCCGCCATGATGAATTGGCCTTGGGTGCCGTGTGGCATATGGCAAAAAATAACGCCCCTGTAGCCCTCGGTGTCTGCAAATGCTGATCTTGAGGCTAGGGTGTGGCTGCTCCGTGTTTTTAAGCCTCATCCGCTTGCCTTAGAGAATGAAAGGGAAAAGAACTAACAAAGAAGGGAGGGTCAACTGTCCCCCATCCATCGCCTTGCGGCCAAGGTTTCTCCGTGGAACACTGGCTCCTCCCGAGCTCACCAGGCAGGTTTCTGTCACATCTGCCAAGGCCAGGCAGGAAGCTCTCGCTCGTAATGCGGGATGAAGACGACTAGCCACAGCCCAGAGGCAGGCGCTTCACCGACCCTTTGGAAACGATCCCCTTAGAGTGCGGATAGGTGGAAAACTGCAAGGGAACACTCGATTTGGGATCGGAAATCCAAATCGATAATTATTGGTATACCACTTTGCTTTCCAAGAAGCAACTCCTACTTTCTTTACGCTGCTTGGAGAGTAAACAGCAGCTGCGTTTCCCTCCTCCCAAGTTTGTGTAGATGTAGCAGAGACTGCTGGACTTGCCTGGTTATAGAAGCTGCCTGTGGTCCACTATTCTGCTTTCCCAAGCCCCCAGATGGGCCCTGAAAGAGGTTTTGCAATCCGGAAGCTCCATGAATCTAGAAGATTCGGAAAGAAGAGTCAGTCACTGAATCAGATGATAATGTTGGGCTTTAACTTTGAAAGTCAGTTTCAGCAAGGTAAGAGGCACAACATCACTGAGGTTGATTTCTCAGGAAAAGTATCACAAACATTTAGAGCTTAAAAGTTTAGGAGACCAGGCCTGATGGCACACACCAGGAGTCCCAGCATTTGGGAGGCTGAGGCAGGAGAGTCATTGGTAGTTTGAGGCCAGCCTGGGATATGTAGCAAGACCCTGTCTCAAGAAAAAAAATGGGAATTTTGCATTTAAGGCCTTTCTTGAAAGACCTTTGAAGCAGAAAGAACTTTCTAAACACTTCTTGAAATTTTGTCAGAGTCGATCTCCATAAAAATACTCTAGGGGATAAAATTCATGAAGAAAAGCAGGGCTTTGATCCAACACTTTTTGAACACCAACAGCAGATCCTGTGCTAGATGCTAAGATCATTGGAAGACATAATCCTTTGGCCACATCTTCAGAGTCTAAGGAAGCAGTGAGTGGCATTTAAAATGGACCTTGGAGAACAGGGGGATTTCCGTGGACAGGAGGGGAGCGGAGGACAGGGGAGAATGTTCCAGGAAGGGAGAAGAGCCAGAACAGGCAAAGCT